GAAGGAAGGAAGGAAGGAAGGAAGGAAGGAAGGAAGGAAGGAAGGAAGGAAGGAAAAGAGCTGAAAACAATAGAAAGTGAAGAAAAAGGAAAAAAATACTTAAAGAAGCAACTTCCAGGCTCCTTTACAACAGTTATAAACATACTGAATAGCATTTCCTCCCTTCAAAATTACATAATGTAGTTCCCTTCTCCCCATATACAGCCCTTTTTAATTGGTAAATCCAGAAATCACCAGTTCATTTTTATCCGCTTTCAGCAAAAAGTCCATAAAGAGTTTCCAGTTTTTTATAAAAGTAGCTGTTGTTCCTTCCCTAATCAAACAAGTCAATTTAGCCATTTCTGCACATTCTGCTATCCTTATGATGACCCACTCTGTTGTGGGGAGAGTACATTTCCTCCTTTGGGGATAGATGGATGGCTTGATCCTAAAAACAGACAAAATGGTGCAATGGGAATGTATCCATTTTTGGCTTCTGATGCCATCATTCTAGGGAGATGGATTATAACCCTAGCTCTGTGATGTAACCGTGTTCTAACTGTAAAAGTGTCTGCCAGTTCCAAGAGTTCCTGAGGACCAAAGAACATCCAGCGTCTGGTGTCCACATATGTTGCTAGACAAACCCAACATTGCAAAGTGTTTTTCAAATTGTTTTCAATTTTCATCCCTGCAGAAGAGTCATATCTTACATACTGAGCAGGTTCACAAATGTTGTTTCTATACCAGATTGACACAAGCTAGAGTACTTATCTACCTCTTTTACAAGAATTCTTTTCAACCAGAAGTTTATAAAATAATTTACATTGCACAAGGCAAATTGTAGACATGCTTGGGTAATGCTGATCCTTTTTTGCAGGTTGAGGGGACTACACAATGTTAAATAATCAGTATTATGTCCTCTTTTAATTTGCAAAGGTGTAGGAGTGTTGCAGCAAAAACCAACCCAATGGCAGTGTAAACGCCAAACTAATTTATTTTGTATAATCTGAAAAATATGTTAATTATAAAGATGATATGGGGGCATTGCTCTTTTGTTTGTTACTTTTGAAAAAAACAGATCACAGTTAGACTTCTACTGACAAATTTCAAGAGTACCTATGTGTATTTTCCCTTCTTTAGTACCTCTAATGTAAAGAAATGGGAATCAGAACTGCAAACGCTTAGGGAGAGCAACGCAAGGCTCACATCTGCTCTGCAAGAATCCGCGGCTAGCATAGAACATTGGAAAAAGCAATTTTCCATTTGCAAAGACGAAAATGATCAACTTCGGAGCAAGGTATTGGACGCCACAAACGAAAGCATCAGCTTTTGCTATTATTACTAAGATCCTCCATAAACCTGTTGAGGGTGATGAGCTCCTCAGTAGTTCCTAAAAGATGGGGATTGTTTTTGTGAAGGTATCCATGAAAATTGGATGGGTCTTCAATTTTCCCAATGCAACAATGGATGGGCAGCCTCTACTAATAGGGTAGAGCTCATGTTATAAAGCGCCAGCCAACGGTCAACTTCAAGTGCAAAGTTAAACAGGGGATGTGTTTTCCTTCTTTAAGATTGAGGAACTGGAAGAGCAGTGCAATGCAATCGATAAGGAGAGGGATCGAAACGCACAGCTTAGCAGGCGCCTTCAGGAGCTGGAAACCGAACTTCAGGATAAAGAGTTGGTACGTAAAGCTGTGAATGGGAATGAAGAGCTATAGAGTCAAAATGAGTCTTAGTCAAAATGAGTCTTTGGGGATATAGAGATGCAAAAGTAAGATTTGCTGAGGAAGAATTTGGATTTATAATTTGAGTCATCCTCATTCAGGCATTCACTCACTCATTCTCTTTACTTTGTCTCCAGAAGCTCACAGTAGGCTTATTCTCTTTCCCAATTTTACCCCCACATCACCAATCCTGTGAGGTAGCCTGGGTTGAGAGAGTGGGTTCAATGAAAGAGGGAGAGAAAGGAAGACTTTTGCATACCGTATTATTTCTTTTAAACTTTGTGGCTCTAGACTTTTTTAAGGTAGTAACAAGAAGTTCTACTATAATAATAGGTTTTAGAAGATGAGAAAGAAGGGTTCTTGTGTTTTAAGTCAGCCAATTAATTTTCTGAGGCAGCTGGCTGCAGCAAGAGATTAATCAAGTTACCTCCAGGTGTTCCCATCCATTGGCTAAGTGGACCCTGTTAAGCCTTTTTAATCATGGTAAATTGCAGTAAACTGTAGTTAAGACAAACCAGACATGGGGAAGAGAACACATATAAGCTTGAAGAGTGGGAGATGGGAGTTGGAGATGTGAAGCCCTTCAGATATTGCTGAACTATTCTTCTCAGCATTCCTTATTATTAACCATGCTAGAATGGCTGATGGGAGTTATTTGGGTCACCCTTGCAATTAATTACTTATTTTCCTTCTCCTCTTCCTCCTCCCCTTCCTTATCATTTCTAATTTTCCCAATAAACATTCTGCAGAGATTGCAAATTTACTGAAAACATTAAAGCATGATAGTTCCTAGTATATTCAGTAACAATAAAACGCATTCATTATACAATAACTACATATAAAAGCTATTATCTCAGTATAATGGAATGTTGTCTTGAAGTTTGGCAGTGGCATCTGACATGGGTCTGTATCTGTTCCAGACTGGGTGGCAGGATTTTTCTCTTTTCTATCATTATGGCTGTAGAAAGCTTTTCTCCAAATATTCTCTGTTAAATTTTGCTCTTTATGTTCTGGGCTGAATTGAGGCTGATGCATGTACCGGGAATCTTTTAGGCTTTTGTGCACTAATGCTTTTAACAACACTAGCCTGTTAAAAGAACTTCACATACACACAATCAGTTCAGACTGATAGATGGTGATGCCCGGTTTCAAACATCTGCCCATAAGCTTGAGAGAGAGAAAAAAGGCCAGCCTTTCCCCCCCAGCTTTCTCCATGGGTAATAGCATTCATAATAGTATTTTGTAACTTTCAAGACTCACAAATATGACAGGTTGCCCTTCCATTGACTGGCAAGGGTTTGCCCTGGGTTTGCTTCTCAGGCAGTGCCCTCGCATTAGCAGGCCCCGGTTAGTGCCAGACAAAAAGCTAATTTTGCCTTTGCAAGACAAACCCAGTGTGAACTCTGCTCAGGAAGTGTGACATGGTGAAAGGAGCACCTTTGAAACCCTCACTTTCTGAGTGGGAATGCAAGGCCAGAAAGGAGGGGGCAGCAGGAGGGAGAGAAAACAGTGCTTTTCCTCCTCCGTTGAAGAGTTTTCATATGCTATAGTGGAATGGGTATCATTTATGGACAAGATGGGTAACAACCTGGTGGCTTCTGAGTCCCCCTTTTCCACCCAGAACCACCTCTTACAGGAATCAGAGCTCCCTGCCCTTTAGAGATGAATAAGCAGCAGTGTAGGCTTTAAAAAAATACTCCCTTCCCTAGACCAGGAAATTGTGGCTCTGCCCCATTTGCTTTATTATTCCCCTTCCCACGGGGACCACTCAGAAGAATACCCAGGGTAACCCCCAGCCTTCTAAAAATGTTCCCTTCCATCCTGCAGTTCCAAATGCACCTTACCCCCTAATCAGCTAGTTGGCGCTGTCCACTTGAGCGGTGCTGATTTGCTATTTCTAGAAAGAGCTTCTCTGGAGCCACAGGTTGGGTAAGGGCATGGATGACGGAGCAGCTTTTTAAATGAGGTCCCTTCCCCAACCATTCTGGTTTTCTTCTTCAAGATATTGCCTTGAAGGCTACGAATCACCCTATTTTATGTCAAATCTTGGCTTGCAATGAATGTTGCTATTTTAACGCATTCTCTTCCCCCGCACCCCCCAAGTATAACACAACGTTTTAATGTATCAACATATCTATGTGTTTGGACTATTAAAGCAGAAAGTATCATTAAATGTTGACATTAAATAATTGCTAAGTTTGCAATAAAGCATAGCAATGAGACATGTTTTTCCCCTTAAGTTAATGTTTTAATGATTCCTTTCCTTTGACAGTGGAAACTTCCCTTAACACTCAGGTGCTCATGCTTTTTTCTAATTTTTTACATGTATATTTAAGAAAATGTGAAGGTGAGGATATACGTGATTATAATTTCATTGCATGCATATTTCTCTAGGAATTGGAGGATCTTCGGAAACAGGGTGAAATTATACCTCAGCTCATGACAGAATGTGAAACTGTTTCTCAGAAATTGCAGGTATGAATAGTTATTAGTCTTCAGTAAAACATTTTGCATTTTAAATAAAATATTGCTTCAAATCTACAGCCAATATGTTTTTCTGACTGCAGGAAACAAGTCCAAAGTGTATGATTCATATCTGAAACAAGTCAGGAGAGTGGAATTGGCTCTCAGTGTGAGCCAGTGCAATAGGGTAAGGGTTGGGAATAGGCCACCTTTCTGACATTGCTGAACCCTAACTCCCAGAATCCCCCACCATTAGTCCTACTTGATGTGGCTGCTGGTAGTTGTTTGTAGTTCAGCAGTATCTAGAGGGCTACAGATTCCTCATCTGTATAAGAAGATATAGCTACAGTCTGTCCGTCTCATTTATAAATGGAAATCATTCTTCCCATTTAGGATTTGAAAATGTTCTTCCCATTTTTGAATGGAAATCATACAAAGCATTCCCACTGATAAAATCACAAGGCCGCAAGGCCATCTCGTCTGTGACATGTTGTAGCCCAGCTGTTCAAAAGTAACATAGGATAATGTGCATTCAGTCTTGTCCTTGTTTGCTATGAGTTTATTTAGAGCATTTTACTCCCATCTTTTTTATTGGTCCCTGTGTATTTCCTTTTATATTACCACCATCCTGGAGGTATCTTTAGGTTGGTTAATTTGTTCATTGTGTTTTAAAAAAATAATAAAATAATATACCTTCATTCCAACTTTGTACTGTTGGCATTCATCTAGTGAAAGGCGATGATTTCAATTCCAGAACATTTCATTCTGTAGAAGGCACACCTTGTTTTTCAGTTTTGAAATGATTTCATGAGTACATATTTTCATTTCACCCTGCCTTAAGAATGGGGTGGAGTTGGACAATGTAGGAATTCACTCTCAGAAGCAAAGTGCTTGAGTGTAGGTTTGCCTTGATGGAGAGCTTTAAGACTCCCCCTCACTATATTTTATATAAATGAGTTAAAAAAAAAATGATAGTCATATACTGTAACTCTGTTAGAAATACATATGTACTTGAATAATATTTGTATTAGATAAGTTTATATAGAATCGTAACTTATTGTTATAATTATATATTAACACTTTTTTTCTTTGTTGTATTTTTTTCACTTTTTTCTTAAAGGGCTTTTATGTATTTTTTTCCTTCTTTTTGTAACCAAAAATTTTTTAAAAGTTGAAAAAGACGTCCTCCTCACTGCACGGCCTTTATACATATTAGCCAATAAAACTTTGGGTATATTTATGTTTAATTTAAAAAACTGAATTCACAAACAAGACGGCATTAACTCGTAGCCATTATGTGGCATTTGCAAGTGAAGTCAGAGAAAACTAGATTTTAATGTATCTGCCTCGATTTGGAGTGTTCAGGTGTGGAAGAGCATCTCCCCAAATTCCCACTCAGCTGTCGCAAAACACATCTGGAGGCTGCCTGAATTGGGAAGGCTAATTTAATTGCCTCAAATAGTTCGTTGCACTGATGAAATATCCATGTTTCTATGCGCTACTCAGATGAAAATGAATTGGGAGAATTTGACTGCAGATTGGTTTATAAAGGACATCATGTTAGAAATGCAGAAAGAGGTGGAAGGAGACATATTGGACTCTCTGCCTGCTGTTCAGGCTGTTCTTCAAACTTCCTTTCTGTTTTGCAGGCTGCTGAGAAAAGGAATAAAGACCTTGAAGAGAAAGTCAGAGCTCTAAGGACGGAGGTGGAAGAGAGCAAACACAGGCAGAACAACTTGAAGACAGAGTTGCAGACTTTTTTAGATGTACTAGATGGAAAAATTGACGAATTGCAAGATTTTCGGCAAGGACTCTCGAAACTGGGTGTCGACAATTAGGGAACAGCAGCTTTCTCCCATCCCCAAATAATATTTGGTGTGTACGTGTGTGTATGTGTCCGAAACCAAGGTATATGTTTCTACAAAAAGTGAAAAGATGGATGTTCTTCCTTGCAATGTGATTTGTACATAGAGGCTAAAGATTTTAATTTTTTTTTCACTTCTTTTTTTTTTTCGTTCCAAAAATTTCTCCTTGCTTCTTCCTTCCTTTCTTTAAGAAAGAGATGACAGTTTTTAAAATCGTACTGCTGTAGCCCTTTGTGGGTTTGTGAACAGGCAGGGGAGGTCTCTTGTCTCAGGAGGCCTGTACCTCAACCTACCTTAACACAGGAGGTCCAGTGACAGGAGGTGATGCAGGGAAACTGATTTTAAGGCCTGCTGCAACTGTAGCAGGGAGACATTTCCCCAAATGCTCAGCTGCTGCAGATGTATGCCTCATTCTGTAGTGCAGACAGAACAGAGTTCTTGGCAGTAGCCATGGTGTAGCTACTGTAGTAGATCTTCCTAGCCTTAAGGAACAAATTGGAAAAGCCACATTCAAAAATGTCCATATTGCACACTCTCTCTCTTTCTTCTTCTTGAAATACCTGTGAGGCCTTTTTCTAGAGGATTTGCCATGTTCAATAATGTGCACTTAAAACCCATTTTTTTTAGATTGCAACGTATGAAGTGAAGGTTTCCCCTGTCACTTTCGGCAGAATGAATGTGCACTTTATGACACCCTTGGTGGGTTTTTCTGGAAGTGTAGATGATATATCAGCTATTACAGTATAGAGAAATTGGACTTTTTTTAACTCATCCCCAAACTGATGGTGGTGAGGTCAACAGATGCCCTTCAGGAATGGCCCAGTAGCCACCGTCTATCACAAGAGGTTGGAGGGGAATTTTTGTATTCAGGATAAATGCATTTATTTTAAAACACATTTATGACCTGCCCGGCTTGTAACAAGTGTGTTTACACATAATGATCTAAAACTATAATAAACATCACAGTGACAAATTGATAGAAGCCAGACAAAATAAGGTGGAAAACTGAGCACAAGATAGTTCAAATGGTTCAAGTGCTACCATAATTCTGGATGGGGCTTTTTTGAAAAACAAAAACAAAAAACAAGTTATTGGGTTTTATTTGGTGGCCTTGTGGTATGTGAAGATGCAAGACTTGAACATTTGCAGGTATAATAGTATAAGCATGCAGGATTTGATGGCTACAATGAATATTGAGTGAAGAGTAAACTGGCTCTATTTGGATTCTAGAGCTACGTTTCATCCAGGCATCCTTAAAACCTAGTCCTACTATTAGCAAAATCAGACAGTATCCTTGGAATTAAGCATAAATCTGTATTATCCTAGATGACCATCTAAGAAAGGAAGTCCAAAGGAAGGATACCAGCCTATCTTGAAGCTTCTGGCTGTGTTTGCAAACCCTGCTCCATAAATCCAAATGAGTGGGGGCTGATTGTGCTCATAGTGGAGTGGGGAAAAAAAAGCTTTCTTCATCTGCTCAGAAATGCTCTTCATCTTACAAAAAGGGTTGAAGAAAAGGGTAGAATCCAGTCTCAAACTAAGAACTACGCAAAGATTCCTGCGCTACTGAGGGAGATTTGTGAGAAGTACTTCCCTGTTTTTGGTAGTATAAATGGATTGACAGTCATGAACAATAAAGTCCATACTTCATACTGTCAAATCTATGAACTTAGCTCTTGCGTGCTTTATACAGAAATTAGAGGGTCCCCGAATATGCTCGGTCTCCTAGGTGAGCCAAATCTCCTTCAATTTTATGGCTTGCGCCCTATGCGCCTAACTGCTTATTAAAGTTGCAGTTAAGTCCCAGTAGGCTCATTTTGCACATATATGCATGCATATGATTCCATAAGTCGGGATGCTTCCATTGTTCTGAATATGATGTTTATACATCTTCATTTTTTTAAAAAGTGGAGGGTTGACAACCCAACCATGTTCTCTTTAAGCTGCAAGTCGGCTGTGATGGTCCCGTTTCCTCATTTTCCAATATGCAAAAAAGAAAAAAGGGAAGAGGAGGGAGGGAGGGAGGAAAGGAGAGAAAGAAAGAAAGAAAGAAAGAAAGAAAGAAAGAAAGAAAGAAAGAAAGAAAGAAAGAAAGAAAGAAAGACCTGTCTCTTTAAAATATGAGCTTCCATTCTTGCTAGAAGAACCAGTTCTGCAGAAGTCACGACTCCTTTGTTGCAAAAGCTTGTGATGGGTTCCTAGTGATCAAAATGCTTCCATTCTTCCTTTTTCCAAAACAGCTACTTTTGCTCTGCAATGCCCTGGGGGACTGGGTGGCTGATGATGGAGCTGCTTAAAACCAAGTTTGGGTTTCAGAAAGAAGCTTGGCTGGCAAAATGGCCAAAGCAAAGCCTTCTGCTCCACTACAATACTCAGCAACCCTTGCCACTCATCATACAGGCTGGGGCTGATTGGAGCTGTAGTTAGCAATATACAGAAGGTCCAAGGTTACCCATCAGTGTTCTTCAAATATGTTGATTGGGGGTGGGTACACATTTCAAGTAGGCTTGCTTACTTATCTTTGTCAACAGGAAGCCTAGCTTTATGAAACTGAGATGAGGGAACTGTAAGTAACATAAATCAGGGCACATGAGAGGTCCTTCATCCCATTTGCCCCATGAATGGGCTGGTCCTCTTGGCTTTCTGTTTCATGTCAGCAGCTGAAGTATCAAAGCAGTGAATTGCAAGTAGCAATCTCCTTGGCATTTTAAAACTAAAAGCCAGAAGGTTATGCCAACCAACCTCTGCCATAATTAACATCAAGGCTGCCTTACTGTTTCAGTTTTCTAAAGATCATTTTAAAGGCTCTGTTTTCAGCCCTTCTGTAGCCTGTGTGTGCTCTGTTGTCTGGCAAAATGCAACATTTAACATTTGTTCTTTGTGTAGGCCCAGCTGGCCAAAGAAACTGCCTGCAGGCTATTCTGACTGATAAGTTGGCTCCCCTTCCTTCACAAAGTCTAGATCTGTCCTAATAGTCACTAGAACATTCCAACATGGCAGTTGCTAATCTTGTTCTCTGCACAGAGTAACTGTATAGTATAGCAGCTGTGCCCAGCTAGAGTAAGAAATGTATGTTTGTTGATAGAACACATGTTTTGAGCATTTAACATTTAAGATTCAATTCCTTGCTTCTTTCCTTAAAAAAAAAAAAAATTATAAATGATAGGAAGAACCATATTTTGCCCTTTGGAGGGGAGACCTTCCCAACCTGGTCTTCTTGCAACTGCATGATCTCCAAGTTCATCAACAGAGCAATTCCGTCTTCCAAGTGCTTCCCCTTGGCCTCAGGAGCTTCTCGTATGCAGAGAATTTCTCCAACAAGAGACCTCTCTCCACTTGAAGAGAACACTAATAGGTGAACCTGCTTGAAAAGTCTATTGATGTGGCAAATGGGCAGGCTCTGCGGTGGCCTTGGGGGCCCATCAACTGATGAAAAAATGATAGCTGAGGATGGTGTCTTGGTTCGTGCCCTCTTTGGGAAATAACATATCGCCCTTTGGTCTTCCTACTAGGGTTTTATTTTTGCTTCTTACCCATTCGCTTTTCCTTGGAACGATTCCCAGCTCTTCTTGAAACAACCTGTATTGAAAGCACTTTTGTGGAGGTGTTTGAAACCCATGTAGGCTTTTTTTTTTTTTGCTTTGAAAATGTCAGCTAGGCATGTTCCTTTGAAAGCAATTATAAATAAGGTTCAGGTGAAGCTAAAGAAAGTTTTTTAAAAATTGTTTCTTTTTAAAAACTTTCCCATCAATTGTCTCAGCCATTGTAGGCTTTCTATCGGGACTAGGTATCTGGACTTACAATGGAATCATAGGATCTTTCTTTATGAGGCTGGTGTTTGTCACAGTTGTTTGCTATATGGGCTTGCAATCTTGGACAGATTATTTATAAGGTTGGCTTAAATATTTATGATATATTCAGTAGTAATAAGAATCCTGGGTGAGAAATGGTACAATAAGGCATCTGATAGAGAGCATTAGGAACACGCAGCTAATAATAGTCACGCTGTGGAGGGAAAGATAGCATCCAAGCTGCTGATTTAAATATCTTCAGAGATCACAGAATAATTTTCTACTTTGACATTTTCTTGTGATCAAACTAGGCTGGTGAGAAAGCAGCTTTCAAAAACAACAAGGTGCCTAATAACTCCAAAATGTTTATATGTATATTTGCATTTTCTTTTCTTTTTTTTCTTATTCCCTAGATTGTTGCTTGCTTTGGTAATGTAGAACCTCCCCTTGTTTTAAGGAGGCTGAGCCAGACTTTCTGCACCAGCAGAGAAATCAAAGGAGCACAGATTCTTAGAAATATGCATCCGTGGAGTAATAGATGATCTGTATTCCCTTTAGCTTGACTAAGCCAAACAGTATACTGGACTAGGGCCTAAAGCAAGTCTCATACTTAAACTGTTGGGCTAATTCTATGATTTAGGCCCTTGAGTGGATTAATTATCTTATTTTCTAATACTGGTTAGCAATAATTTTATTTAGCCATATTCTAACCAAGAAGATAGGATTGTCAGAAAAAAGAAGACTCAAGTTGATTTCTCAATCCTGCACAATTGTCTTGAAAAAGCTTTGTGTATGACAGAGCAGGCAGTCCCAATCCTGGGGGGTGGGGGGGGGACACAACACTTTAATCCTTTTGAATATTTTGAAATTGTATTTTCATATACATCACATCAACTTAAGAAAGTACTATATTCCTGCCTGCTAACTTACAAATATGGGAATATTTTAAAATGACCCCAAATGTTTAAAAGTTATTATACAACTTTAGTAATCAGTTTGCAACATGCTTTACTTTTTATTGTTCAGAATAGAGTTTAGTAAATGGCAAATTAACCAATTATAAGGGGAAATACTACAATGAGTGAAGTGTATTTTTATCCAGATATATAAAATATGGTTAATCAACCTGGAGAAATTATTTCAGGTTCATTGGAGTGAAATTGTCTTACCTTGTTTGCTGTGAGCGAGTATTTTTTTTTCCTCTTCCATGTGAATTAATTTTGAGCAAAAACTGATCTCTGAATTTCCTATGGTAGCAGTAAATCCTGGGGTTTTATATATTTGAAAAACCAACAATTAAGAAAAAAATTACCTTTTGTGATTTTTATCTGATTTTATTGTATTATAGAGTTGTTTATGTAAATATATATCTATATAGTTTAAGTTAAAAAAACAAAATTCGTGTATTTATTCTCTCCTGGCTTAATCACCGTTTAGTTTCCTGAATTACATGTTCTTGCTTTAACACAAGTTGGGGGATTCTTTTTATTTTATTTTTTTTACTAGAAAAGTTAAACTAGGATTTAAATAGTTGCCCTAATACAGAATGCATCTTAATTAAATATAACTGCTTCATTTTTTTTTTTCCTGGAAATGAGCTTTTAGAGGGGAGGAATAAAGATACCTGTGTGCTTGATCCACGCTGTGGATCCCTGATTCTCCACTCTGTTATACAGCATAGTAAAAAGGCAAAAAGAAAATTTACCATCAAGTAAATTAAAGTTAGCAATATTTCCATCCTCTTCGTAGAGGGAGACATTCCTTAATTTGGGAGTGCCAATGTGGGGAAGGTGTAAGGGGGAGACCCACATTCTAGTCTAGCATCAGCCATAGCAGCTCCCTGAGTGAGAGTTGCTCTGTCTCCCAGCCCATGAGTCAGGGTGGTGTAGTGATGAAGGTGTTGAACAAGGAGTGAGGAGTCCTAGGTTCTAGTCCACCCTTAGCTCCAGAAGCTCCAGGATGACTTTGGGCCTGTTGCTCTCTCAGCCCCAAAGCTAGGTGGGGGTAATGGTGAAGATGCTGGTCTAGCAGCAGGGAGACCCAGGTTCTAATCCATCCCCAATCGTGGAAGCTCCCTGGAAGACTTTGCTCCCTCTCAGCTCAATCTACCTCACAAGGTTCTTGTTGGAGGAGGAGGAAAGGGTATATACGTCAACCTGAACTCCTGAAAGAAAAGTAGGGTATATGTCTAATAAGTGAATATATGTGGAATAAATAAATAATATATCTTGCTGCAAATACAAGGTTTTATTGTACCTTCAGTCTGACCACTTACAATGGTATAAGCAGAAATGCAGAGTCAATAGCTCTCCTGGTCTTGTTGGATGCTGAAAGCATACCCAGCATAATTGCTAACTTTAGATAGCTCAGCAGCTCTAGGAAGCATGATTAAGTTGCAGTTCTTCAACACCTGGAATGTTACAAGTTATCAACCCCTGCGGTCATCAAACAATATTTGGAGGACCATAGAATCCTTGCTGTTGGTATACATTTGTGCCATGATATCTCTGTTAAGACCTTTATCTAAAAGTTTGAAACAGGATCTACTGACAGAATGAATTCATTTTCCTTTTTTATTCCCTATATTTGCTCAGGAAGATAGGAGACACTGTGGAGCAGATCTGAGGTATGTACAGGGTGTCCCTGAGATTTTTGGGACACCCTGTATTTTGAGGCAGAGTAGAGAGGAGAATGAGCTGAAGTTCATTCATGCAAGGTTGAATTCGGCTTAGTGTTTTTAAGGCACTACAGGGCTCTCAGTTGTTTCTATTGGGTTCTTACTACTTTGCACAATGTGCTTCTCTACCAGAGTGTCCAACATGATGTAGTGGTTTAGAGATTGGACTAAGACCTGAGAGGACAAGGTTCAAGTCCATCCTCAACCACAGAAGCTCATTAGGTCAACCACACTCTTTGAGCCCAACCTACCACTCAAGGTTGCTATCATAGGAAAAATGTTTGGTGGTAGAAATTGCTGATCTAATTGAGGAAGGTAACGATGGGTGTCGGTAACCCTTGGATGCACCTAAAGTCACTTTCTGGCTCTTTGACAAAGAACAGAAACAATCAATTATGTTACATGTTTGGCATTGCAATTTTTAAAAACGATCAAGCAGCCTCCTGCTTTTCTTGGCCCAAACTATTTTAGCAAGTTGCTTGCCTGTGCAGAGAATGCTCTAGGCTGAGGCTGAAAGGTTTTTTTAATGAATTATGGCATAAAATCTTTTAGTTCCCCTTCCTATTTGTTCCTGGAGTTTCCAAGCAAATGAAGATGTCATTCAAGAATTCGATATCATGGCATGTGGGCTGTGCACTGAAGACAGATTAACATAGAAGTGGCTGGAAGTTAGGTTTGCAGAAAACAGTTCTCAAGATTTTGGATTTTGTGTGGTAAGTACCATTCTTATTGGCTTAAATTTCATTCTGATCCCACCCTTCTTCCCAAAACCTCAGGGCCACAGGCACAATTCCACCATATTTCACCATCTTTTGCAAGTCTGGTTAGGTTGCGCCGGGGATCCAGATCTTCAGTGAGTTTTGGGGCTGTCCAAACACATGGTATCATCTTGTATCATAGATACATGAAGATGTCTTGTGTCAAGTTTTGATCAGTGGTGTATATGCATATATGTGTACCACATGTTATTAGTGTCTGAAATGGATCACTGTATGGATATCTATAAGGGGTTTTGTGAAAAAGTACCCAACTGATTGGCTATGTTGCTGCTCTTTGACATTATACTTGTGGCTTATTTTTTTTAACTGAGGGTGTTTTTATTAGGTTTATTATGTCTAAATCCACAATAAATGTTTGCACTTGTACATGCAGGCAAACGATTTTCATAATCTGAATTACATTTTTTTGGTTGTTGTTCATCAACAAAGCTGAAAGCATGTCTGGCTGCTTTTGTAATCAATGGTAAAATAGTTCTGATGTTCAGTGGTAATGTAAGTAAGCTCGCATATTTCACTGGACAAGATCATTGAATTATTTACTGTTAGCTGCCTTTCCCTGTAATTTCATAACCTCTCCTCATCCCTACTACAATTTTTTTTTTAGTAGAAACATTCCTTGGCATAAACCAGATGTACTCCTAAAAGTTGAGTGGGTTGGGATCTGATTGCCTAGCCTTGATTTGGAAACACAGATATATATTTGTTTGATCTGGCATAGCTTCACTAGTGCCTGGGAAAAATGACCAGCCATACCCTGGGCCCCTCCAAAGGTTATTGAACTACATCTCCCACCATCTGGCATTATTAGCCTTGCTGGCTAGGGTAGCTGAAAGTTGTGTTCTTCAGCAATGTTGGGGATGGGGGGAGGGCATTGTGCCTCCATATCTTAAAATGTAGCTCAAGATAGTTCTTCCAGAGATATAAAATAGTTGCCAATGTGATGCTGGGAGATGCCTTCAAATTTCATTCCACATATCCAAGGAAAGTGTGTTTCATAACAGAGACCTGACTAGTTCAGCTTTTCTCCAGTACTAAGGAAAGTTGGAAGTGCTTCTTTCTTTACTTGTGGCCTGTTGTCTCTTCTCTTGCAAGCATCTTCTGGCTGCTGCCATTGAGTCAGGAATTACCTTGGGGGAAAATGCTGCATCAGGAAGAACCCCCGAAAGTGTTCAAGTTGGAGAGTGTTGCCGGAGGAACCCAGGCAACCACTGTTGCTATGGCTACACATTACTGGGCGATGGTGTAGGCCTCGGGAACCGTTCTGAAATGGACTCCTAATTATAGGATGCCAAGTCACTCCCCTCAGAACAACAGCCACTCAGTAAGTTTGACAGAAGTCTCTCCCTTTGAAATGCTAAACAGCCTGGAAGGCAGAAAGTCCTGCTTCCCAAAGCACTCGCATCTTTGATTAAATGGATTTGTCATTTGAGGAGACCCAACAGCCACGTGGCCAGTTTGCAAAACTACACACGTGGGCTGCTTTTCCCACCTGAAATGGGCACGTACTTTTTAATCCCCGCAACAGAGGTATGCAGCATTTGGAGAAGATCCAAGAGCCGTGGTGATGCAGAAGAGGTGGGCCTACGCTAGCCACAGGGTCAGGTCTAAAAATTGAGTTCAGTCCGCTGCTCTAATCAAGTCGCATCCTGATGCCAGAGTTCCCTTAATCCCTGGTTTGTATGCAAGCACTTAGAAAAAAGAACTCCAAGCCAAAAGACATTCAGGTTGCTCTGTGCTTCTCAATCAATCTGTAGCTCTTTAGAGAATGCTTCTCCCTGTGTACTTGGAGGCTAATTTTAATTGGCTTATTGGGAAGAGGAGGTGGACGAGTCTGTGTAGGTGAGAAGAGCAGAGAAGCTGATAATTTGCAGTTGCTTCCCTTGCAGCTCTTGGGCACAGTTAGTGGAGCCTGGCCTGGGGAGAAAGACAAGGCTGTTGTGACTCATCCTTTAATAATATTGATTGGAACTGGCTCCAGCTGTAGCTTTGTAAGGAAGAGCAGGAAAGATTGCTTCCCTACCTGACAAGACTCAAAATCTCTTCCTCCCACCTTGGAGCCCAAATGCAGTTTCCTGAGCCTGCTTGATGCTTTGAGTGATGCTGTTTTCTTTGCTAAGCCCCAAATCTAAGACCTTTCGTTAGAGCTTTTGTGACAAAGAGTTCATTTCATCAGACTGCTCATTTCTGTTCTCTTGCAGAAATCAGACTCATCTTCCTTATGTCGGATTCCCATTGCGGCCTCCGTGGATCTTAAGTGCTCACTGAATTCACGTGTTTCAATCCGGAAGGAGTCTAAAGAGTTCATCTGGTTTACCCTTTGTTCCAAAGGTAGTCTCTCCCTTTTTTTTAAAGTCAACATGGTACTTTCACTTGGCAGATATTATTTCGCCTCTGCAGGAAGGAGACATATTTTTCTTCCTCTTGAGACAGTCTGTTTCACTGCTAATCCGTTCTCACTGTGAGGAGCTATTTCTAATCCTGCCTTAGCTATTTCTAAGCCATGCCACAGGAACAAGCCTTCAATATCTTTTTGTCCTGTGCTTTGCTGCAGATTCCCATGCAAACCGGCAGATGGTTATCTGGAGTAAGAGCTGGGGAAATCTCTGCGAGTCGAGCCGCATTTAGCAGACGCACCTCTAGGTTCTAGAAAAGAGATGAAGACTTTCCAAGTTTAGTCAGATGTTTTAGTTAGTAGAAGACCAATAACTTTGTGTAATGTTCTGCCAGTGGTTTTATCTTTCATAACTATTTTCATTCTTCTGATTTAAATTCAGATTTCCCAGACTTTATTCTAGTATTCCTATAGCCATTACTCAGAAGCTGTGTCTGAAGCCAAGATTTGGAGCTCAGAACGGGTGTGAAGTTGCATGAAATAATAGAAACTATGATAACCTAAAACTGGCAGAGACATCTGTTTTTCTTCAAGTGACATTGATCTGGGGATTACAGCATTTTTAAATTACTACTACTTCTCTCATTATGAGCTCCAGTATAAGTATGTCTTGATTAAATGTATATTTAGGGAAATGGTGGGGTTGAAATCCTAGGGGTCATCTAGAAAGTAAGGAACAAAGCTGCTTTTTTTAAAATGGTCTAATGCTGAAATTATTTTGTCTGTCTCCTGTATGATTAATTCAGTACCTTTGCCTGGTATCTATCAGCAGGAGGTTAAATAAGGCTACAGTTTGTTCTGTTTTCTCTGTTTTGGCTATGATGGGTTTCCTAAGAAATCTGATTGTTTTTCTCTCTTAGTGTTGGAGAAATGACTGGCACCATTCATAACTACACTCCCAATGTTGCCACTGAATTCTAAAAATGCCCCTGTCTTACAGCAGGGTATTGTGATGATTTACTTATTGTGCCTCTGCAGAGTTTTTGAAAATACCAAAGTGGAGAAAGAAGGAAACAACTTTCTATGGTAAAATGGCTTTTTATATGGAAATGGTATTTTCTCTAAACAGCTGCTGGAGGACCAACCCCATACTGGGTTTCTACCGATGACTTTTCGCATGCGGTCTCATTTCTATTTTAAACCCTCAACTTAAATAAACTCAGCATTTCCTTCTGTCATTGCTATTCTTCTTCTAGAAAACTGTATTAGGCACTAATTTGTCTGAACCAAAATCAGAGACAAGCAAAGTGAGAAGAATGGATGGATATAGACCCACGGCAGTGGAGGGAAACTCTTGTGAATGAATCACTGAACTTGCTGAAGTGAGTGACTAAAAGGTTCTCAGGAGTACTCCATCTTTGTGCTCTGAAAAGAAAAAGCAGCAATCAGCAACAGCTTTGTGAATACAGAAGAAAGTTTTGCCATGTTGCTCCCTTTGGAGCAAAACAGGGCCTCTTTTTCCTATATGAAATGATGCTAGCTACTGTAAACACCAGGGCCGTTGGAGTTCTGTCTTTAACTTTGTAGTTGCCTTTAAAAATTAAAATCAGGGATGCCCGTGGCCTGATCAAAAAATAGGTATATAAACTGTCACAGAACAATTTTGTTCTTGCTGCTTACAGGTGGTCCTTGGGTTTCGACCACTCATTCAGCGACCGTTTAAAGTTACAATGGCACTGAACAAGGGGAACATACGACTGGTCCGCGAAGTTGCGGCCATTGCAGCGTCCCTACAGTCACAATTGCCATTTAAGCACTTGTCAACCAGTTTGCGATTATGACATCACAGCATCCCACAGTCACGTGATTGCCATTTGCGACCTTCCCTCCCTGCACTCCCAAAAACAAAACAAAGGGGGAGACGGGCGGGGGAGGGGAAAAAAAGAACCTGAATAGTATTCCCCCCTT